AGACAGGAAGGACAGACAGGAAAAAGACAGGAGAGATACAGACAATAGAGGCACAGACAGGAATGAGACAGACAAAAGAAAGATAGAAAGAAGAGACAGACAGGAGACAGAAAGACAGGAGAGACAAACAGGAGTGACAGAAAGGCGAGAGAGAGACAGGAGAGACACAGACCGGAGAGACACAGATGGGAGAGAAAGACAGGAAGGACAGACAAAAAGACAGACAGGAGAGACACAGACAGGAAGGATAGACAGGAGACACAGACAGGAAGGACAGACAGGAGATAGACAAATAAAAGAGATGCAGACACGAGAGACATACAGAAGAGAGATAGACAGGACATAGACAGACAGGAGGGACAGACCCAAAAGAGACAGGAGAGAGACAGGCAGGAGAGAGATAGATAAGAGAGAGATAGACAGGAGAGACAGGACACCGACAGACAGGAGACAGACAGACAAGATACAGACAGGAGCGAGACAGACAGGAGATAGACAGATAAAAAAGAGGCAGACACGAGAGACAGACAGAAGAGAGACAGACAGGAGAGGCAGACAGGACAGAGACAGACAGGAGGGACAGACAGGAAAGAGACAGGCAAGAGAGACAGACAGGAGTGACAGACAGGAGACAGACAGACAACAGAAAGACTGACAGGAGAGGCAGACAGGAGAGACACAGACAGGAGAGACAGACAGCAGAGACACAGACAGGAAGGACAGACAGGAGAGACAGACAGGAGAGTCAGACAGGAGAGAGACAGACAGACAAGAGAGAGACAAAAAGGAGAGACAGACAGGAAGGACAGACAGGAAAAACAGGAGAGATACAGACAATCGAGGCACAGACAGGAAAGAGACAGACAAAAGAGAGATAGAAAGGAGAGACAGACAGAAGACAGAAAGACAGGAGAGACAGACAGGAGTGACAGAAAGGCGAGAGACAGACAGGCGACAGACAGACAAGATACAGACATGAGCGAGACAGATAGGAGAGACTGACAGGAAAGAGACAGACAGGAGATAGACAAATAAAAGAGAGGCAGACACAAGAGACAGACAGAAGAGATAGACAGGAGAGGCAGACAGGACATAGACAGACAGGAGGGACAGACACGAAAGAGACAGGAGAGAGACAGACAAGAGAGAGATATACAGGAGAGACACACAGGACATAGACAGACAGGAGGGACGGACACGAAAGAGACAGGAGAGAGACAGACAAGAGAGAGACAGACAGGAGAGAGACAGACAAGAGAGAGATAGACAGGAGAGACACACAGGAGAAACACAGACAGTAAAGGCAGACAGGAGAGACACAGACAGGAGAGGCAGAGACACAGACAGGAGAGACACAGACAGGAAGGACAGACAGGAGAGACAGACAGGAGAGAGACAGACAGGAAGGACAGATAGGAGAGACACAGACAGGAGATAGACAGATAAAAGAGAGGCAGACACGAGAGGCAGACAGGACAGAGACAGACAAGAGGGACAAACAGGAAAGAGACAGGAGAGGGAGAGACAAGAGAGAGACAGACAGGAGAGACAGACAAGAGAGACACAGACAGGAGAGACACAGATAGTAAAGGCAGACAGAAGAGACAGACAGCAGAGACACAGACAGGAGAGACACAGACGGGAGAGACAGACAGGAAGGACAGACAAAAAGAAAGACAGGAGCGACACAGACAGGAAGGACAGACAGGAGAGACAGACAGGAGAGAGACAGACAGCAGAGACACAGATTGGAGAGACAGACAGGAAGGACAGACAAAGAGACAGACAGGAGAGACACAGACAGGAAGGACAGACAGGAGATAGACAGATAAAAGAGAGGGAGACACGAGAGGCAGACAGGACAGAGACAGACAGGAGAGACAGACAGGAGAGCAACAGACAGGAGAGACAGACAGGAGCAACACATAGGAGAAACAGACAAGAGGGACAGAAAGGAAAGACAGGAGAGATACAGACAGGAAAGAGACAGACAGGAGAGAGACAGCAAAAAGAGAGACAGACAGGAAAGACAGACAGGAGAGAGACAGCAAAAAGAGAGACAGACAGGAAAGACAGACAGGAGAGAGGCAGACAGGGGAGAAACAGAAAGAAGAGAGACAGACAGCAGAGACAGACAGGAGACAGACAGGAGACAGATGGACAAGAGAGAGACAGACAGGAGAAGACAGACAGGAAGGACAGACAGGAAAAAGACAGGAGAGATACAGACAGGAAAGACACATACAGGAGAGAGACAGACAGGAGAGACACAGACAGGAGAGACAGACAGGACAGAGATAGACAGGAGACAGACAGACATACAGGAAGGACAGACACGACAAAGAAAGGAGAGATACAGACAGGAGACAGATAAAAGAGAGACAGAAACAAGAGGCAGATCTGAGAGAGGCAGACCGGAGAGAGGCAGACAGGAGAGAGGCAGACAGGAGGGACAGACAGGACAGAGACAGGAGAGACACAGACAGGAGAGAGACAGATAAAAGAGTGACAGAAACAAGAGGCAGACCGGAGATACGCAGACAGGAGGGACAGACAGGACAGAGAAAGACAGGACAGAGACAGACAGGGGAGAGACAAACAGGAGGCAAATAGACAGGGGAGAGAAAGACAGGAGACACACAGAGAAGAGTGAGACAGACAGGACAGAGATAGGAATGATACAGACAGGAGAGACACAGACAGGAGAGAGATAGAGAGGAGACAAACAGATAAAAAAAGAGACAAACAGGAGAGAGACAGACAAAAGAGAGACAAACAGGAGGGACAGACAGGACAGAGACAAACAGGACAGAGACAGACAGGAGAAAGACAGACAGGAGAGACACAGACAAAACAGAGATGGACAAGAGAGAG